AAAGCAATAAAAATATATTTTTAAAAAGAACAATTATTATTTACTTTTGCTAGATAAACTTTCAGGAAACAGGAAGAACACGTCCTACTTACAGAGATGCGCAGGGCCTTTCGCCGTGATTCTCACACTCCGACTGCCCAGGGGCACGGCGATCACGTTTTCCTCCCCTAGGAGAGGGCACAGGACCCGGCTTGTCAATTAGATAGAGCATCGGCCTGCGGGCTCAAGGGGCCCAGGTTCAATCCCGGTCAGGGGCATATGCCTTGGTTGTGGGAAAATCCCCAGTACGGGGTGTGCAGGAGGCAGCTGACCGATGTTTCTCTCCCATCAATGTTTCTAACTCTCTATCCCTCTCCCGTCCTCTCTGTAAAAATTCAATAAAATATATTTTTTAAAAAAGGACATGAGGCCGATAATAAAATCTAAGCGGAATTCTTCCCAACGGATCCAAATTGGCTTACTGTTTGGGGGTGTGTATTTCTGTTTTTGTTTAAAAAAAAATGGAACGCTTCACGAATTTGCGTGTCATCCTTGCGCAGGGGCCATGCTAATCTTCTCGGTATCGTTCCAGTTTTAGTGTATGTGCTGCCGAAGCGAGCTGGGGTGTGTGTTTTGAGCATTTCTCATACATATAGAGTTTACGGATGCGAATAAATAATTTTCCACAATATCAACCAAAGCTAAGGCAACTCTAGGGCGTAGAGCTAAGTACTGATACAATTTTAACGTACACAGTCCAAGTCCCTACAGTGAATTCTCCCTACTGCCTGGGGTGAGCACACTCAAGCTAAAACTGTGCAACACCCAGAAAGGTTCCAGGCCCCTCAAATCACAGAACTCCGAGTGAGCCCCGGCTGTCAGCAAGCAGTAGATATCATTTGGGGCCCACGTTCTTGTAAACTGAACAAACCGAAAAAGAAGTTAACAGCCCTAGCCGGTTTGGCTCAGTGGATAGAGCAGGTGGACCAGAGTTTGATTCTGGTCAAGGGCACATACCTCGCTTGGAGGCTCTTCCCCGGCCCGGGCCCTGGTCAGGGCGTGTGCAGGAGGCAACCAATCAATGTGTTTCTCTCACATGGATGTTTCTCTCTGTCTTTCCCTCTCACTTCCACTCTCCCTAAAAATCAATGGAAAAATATCCTTGCACGAGGATAACAGCAACGACAAAAAGAGTGTGACCCTAGATAGGCCAATTACCAGGTCAAACAGCTAATAAGTAGCCAAACAGACATTTAAACCAGGTCCGCGTGCAATTCCAGGTTAAGCCAGACAGATCGATGGCTTGGCGAGTGGCATCTCATTTAAGCCCCCAAATAAACACTGTACATCTGGCAGTGTCATTTTTCTCGCTTTTGAGATAAGAAACTGAAAAGTATCCGACAGGGTAAGTGACCCCCAAGGCCACAGAACTCGTGGGAGGTGGACCCACAATTTAACCCAGCAGCTGGACTGCCGAGCCACGGTCAAATTATGTTTTCAGAATAAAACCTTTCAACAGGCACATCGAAATTAGATTCTGGGCACGTAAAGGTCAGTAAGTCGTGGGGCTTTTCCAATTAACCGCTGCTTCAAGCAGGTGTCTCCAATGTGCCTCAGAGGGTCATCCAGGTCGTCCCTCAGCGGGCACTCCGTTGTGGGAGCCCTACTAAGCCCGCAAGCCCCACTACGTGCCGTAACACTTTGCTCAGCATGAACAGCGTTAGATGTGCCCGTTATCCTATCCGTGCAGGTTTCTCCACACACAGCGGTGTGATACGTGGAGCCGCTCCCTAACTGAACCCGCCTCCTCAAAGCAAAACGGGAAGGGAGGCGAGTGGGAGAACGTTAACGGCTCAATAGGTTTGAACACTTCATTCTGCCTTTGGGCCACCGTGCAGAATATTTACATCCAACACTGCCCCCCCCTGCCCCCCACAACCAGCCAAGAGGCCCAGCACAGGCCCCCACTCCCCAGCTCCCAGCAGAGGCTGACTCATTCTAACATCCAGCATCACAATCCGCCAGGCCTCCGATGCACCCAAAGTCCTTTTCCCCCCTTTTTCTGCCAGGGAGTCCTGATCCCCCTTTCCCCTGCCCTTTCCCCCCTAAATTCCTGAGGACTTTCCCCATCCCACCTTCTGAGTATCAGGGCCAGCCCTGTCCTGTCCATCAGGAGGCAGACCCATCGGCTTGGGTAGCTTTTCCCCTCA